CAGTTCTGTCTGTAGCAATATAGTACCGCCGTTGACTAAGGCTGAGCACTATGTGTTCCTTTGCTTACTGGGAGTTATGCGAGTCGTGATATGGACGACGTGACAGAAGGAATTCCATGGGGCCGAGAAGTTTACCTCTTCCCAACTGATCATGTTCTTTAAGCATCAGCTTAAACTCAAGATCAGGAAGGAAAGGAAACGACTCCATCCATTGGAATCTGGCGAAAGGTGGGTGAGTCTTGTGCGTCTCTGCCGAGTGAAAGGTGCTGACTTAGAGTTGATGTCGGTTAGGAGGATATTCCGGTTGCTGGGTTGAACATTGGCAACCCTTCCTGTGTATAAGTTAGTGTAGGCGTTTTTGTTTTAGGTTTTTTTTTCTCTTTTTTTTTCCAAGTTAACTTGGTTTGGGAATGTATGCTCATTGGCCCCTTTTATTTCTGGAAATATTTCTTTCTTTTGGTTTAAAAAATCCTCATCCCTCCCATCTTTAGGTGGATAGTGATGTCAGTTCTCTGGTGGATTCGGGGCGTCTTTCGTTTCGGGTGTGATTTTCGTAACTATTTTTGTGCGGGAATGAGTGTGTGTTTGAGTGAGTGCATAGGATGTATGGATGTTTTATATTTTTTTTAAAGTCCCGTATTGATTTCGTCCAGTTAACTTATGTTACTGCCACAGTTAGGGCTGTGGGGGTTTTTATGACTAACAAAAAATTTGTTTAGTTTCTTGTATATAGTTTTGTACACATTTGTATTGGAGCTTTTAGAATTGTAAATTGTTATTTTTATTCCAAGACAATGAATTGTAAATATGGGGACAAGTTAGGATTTCATAGAATTTCTGGGGCATTATGGTGGGTGAGGTAAGAAAGGTAAGTAAGAATGCGTTGTTTTGGTGAAAGGGATATTATTTGTATGTTTGGGCCAGTGTTTGTGGCTAGCTAAGTTTAATAAGACAGAAGAAGACCATCATTTTCCCCCTTTTCCCCTTTTGGCCTTGTGCTGCTCTTGTAAAATTCACACACAATAAATAATATTCCAAAATTCACTTGAAAATGAAACAGGACTAGGGACTTTAATTTAATTTATTAATTGAATTTGAAGTTTTTACTTTCTGTTTTTGAAACATGGTAATTTCTGTGTAGCGAAATATTTATGCTCTGTAGGTTTGCATTGAGCACTATTTTGTAAAAATAAAAATAATTAATAAGAACACCGGATTATATATCTTACTCTTCTTTCTTTTTTATTGTAATATATATATATATATATATATATATATATATATATATATATATATATATATATATATATATATATATATATATGTTGTTTCCATCCGTCTACCATGATGAAATCAACAAGCATCCTTCTATAAAAGATCGATATTAATTGCCATCTATCGATACTCTTTTCCAGATGGTGTGTGATGAAGGCAATTATGTTATAATCGGAATAAATGATAGGAGAAACAATTTTGCACAATATCTTCTATAATTAGTTGATTAAAAGATTACATTTTATTATTACATATGAGGATCCAAGTATCAAATTTCCTCACCTTTGGTGGTAATGTCTCTTCCAAGGAGGAGAACAAATGTCCTGTTTACCTTACCCCCAGCAAAAACCTATGTTGATAACTAATGTAGTAGGCATCGTTTTCATTATTAAATTTAACTTTATCTATTGCTATTTTTACAACAATTTTTCCAATCAATCACTTAACATTATAAAGCCGACAACCTTGCTTGCCTTTTAATCTCTAGAACTCTGCCAGTGGAAAACATTGGTAACCATTTTTACTAAGAATCTTATCTGGAATTCATCATGTAAACATCACGTGTTCGATTATCTTGAAGGCTGCCTCAAATGCCTTCATTCCCTAAAATAGTGCAGAAAAGTGGAATAATATATTTGCAGTAATGTTGCGTTTATTCCTTTTAGCAAATCCACTACAGCTTTTTCTTACTGATATTCATCAACTTAAGATGGGTAGCGTTAACAAAACAAAAGCTCAACTGTATTCAGAAGAGTTTTTAAGAAGTTTAAAAGCGAAACTAAAAATAGATCCGAAACTAATTAATTGTCCACCGGATGAAGTGCAAGCAATCATCGAACTCTTGAAACGATTTATGACATTTTCCTACTTTTAACAAAAAAACAACCCCCCCCAAAAAAAAAACATGCGAATCAGGACAGGATTTCATGAAGCCAATGATTTTTTTTCCATTAAATTTTTAATAACAAGTGGCTAAATTAAATTGTTTAGTTGTCGATGTGGATCATGGAGTATAAGAAAATATTTGGAACAACTGATTTAGTAAAATCTAGCGCACTACTTAAACGTGATATGGAAAAAATGCTTTAAAAATTTAATTGAAAGATTGAGGCAATCCGTTTTTTTTCCTACCCTCTGCCACATTTGGTTTCTTTTTTTTTTTTCTTACTAATATACAATATAATATAACTAATCTAAGCCCGGTCAATAACAAAATAAGAAAAATGCTTCTAATATGATTCTGTCTGCGACTAAACTAAACCACGATATTTGTTCACAAACCAAGTGTATATATTTTATTGTTCAACGAGTAAAAGAGAAAACTAGAAGTCACTAGATTTCAAATAAATAAGATTTCTTGCCATTTAGCAAAACGATTTCCATTATTTCTCATTAAATTCCTTTTTCATTATTTTCTTGCATTTTTGCAAAAGTGATTTTCAAGAGAAAAATTGCAGATTTGTCATCACAATTTCCATTATTTAAAGTATTTAAGTTATTTAACTACTAAGATATAAATTAAGGAGAAAAATTAAGATTGAAAATAATTCCGTCATATATGATATTAGTTAATCAATATTTAAAGAACAAATGCAGATTTGTAAATATTTCGATGCAAAGCTACTAATCGGAGTCCTTACAAGGATTCCTGCTAAGCTTGAGTGAATCTGGCAGACCGGGAAATGAAAGAGAAAGATTGTGTTACGCCAATCTTCCAAATTGGGAAGATCTACATTGAAAACATTCTCACGTTTTACCAGAACACCAAGGACAGAAGAAATAGTAAACTATATCAGCTTTGAAGAAAGCTAAACTATTTTCTTATTGGAGAACAGCATTTCAGTGAATGTGACATATCGTAAAACGATCTGACTTTTCAAGGCTTGTTTATGTCGTTACAGGTTCGAGAGCAGAATTTTACTTGAGTCCCATTAAATTTACAATAAATATTATTCTTGGTATTGTCTTTTTTTTATTTTGAATATTTTTTCTTTGAAGGGTCAAATAGAATTAATTATCAATAGATCTGTATATGCAAAATTAATACATAAATTGACATAAGAAAATGCCGAAACATTTGATAAAAATGTGTCGTAATTTTTGTTTTGGTTTTATTCGTCTTTCTTTCAACCAACCTTTTAAAAGGTGAGATAATTCTTTGCCTCAAAATCTAATTTATGAAACAAATCGTTTGTTTTAATTCACGCAGTAATATTTTTGTTTTCAAACTAATTTTAAAATTAATTCTAAATGAATACAGTGAAAGGAAATGCCGTGTCGTCTGCTTTCTTTGCAAATTGATATTTTTATATGCTGAACTCAGAAAGGAAGTTCTTTTTTTTTAAGATGTTGTTTTCTTAGTTCGTTTTAAATGACACTTTGCTCGCTTATTGCTACCGAGTCTCGCGGCAGTGAACTATTTTAGTTATTGCTTTTTCGTAAGTTTACTTAAACATTTTAAAAATGTCTTTGTTGTTTCTTTGTTTTCTATAGATACTCTCGCGTGAATGTCAAAATTCATTGTAGGATGTCTTCATTTTTTTTTTAATTTGCTTTTAAACTGATAATAAATAATGCTTGATTTCTCTTCAGTACTTTTGAATCTTTGAAGGAATCGGACCAATCTTCTCTGTTGTTGAAAATACACTCGTAAAAGAGCGAATTAAATAGACGAGCCACTATTAAAGTAACAATCAGATATTGGAAAATATATTTAAAGAATTATTTTATTTTTTAACTCGTACAGAATTGAGTCTTACCCAACATGATTTGAAAATAATTAATACTGGCTGTTATATTTGATATCTCTAAGTCTGATACAAGACTTCAGTATTTGAGCACTCAGTGAGAAACAAACTCGCTATGCTACTAGTAGCCTGAAAACTATCTTACGAAACTATTTCTCTATGACAGGTGGCCTAAATACTGCTTATACTAGATATTTCCTAAGGTTAGCTAAAGGAAATTACTCCGCACCATTCACTGGGGATCGAACTTACGAATGTGTCGTCCATTCTTCCGAGTTGAAATAAGTTGCCTTCAAAATATTCAATAAAAATAAACTAGGTACGAGTATTCCACTGATTACAGAAGTGTAATAACCCGATAAGCATAGTTTATTCTGGCACAAGGCCATAAGATTAGAGCACTCTTTGAGTATTGAAATCACTAGAATAGTGCATAGTCGACCAAGATAACTTTACTTATCATTGCTTCAGAAGACGTCTACCAAATGAGTTATGACACCTGATTTGTCGTTAAGTCCTTAAAACATGTCATCAAAAATCAGATAATAATTTTAATCTGTGCTCCAAGGAAATACATTAGTTTATTGTGCCGTCTGGAACGCATTCTCTAAATCTCCCAAAATCCAGTTTTAAAATTTGTGGATAAATTCGTAGATTAGGTAGCTTTTTATGATCTTTCTTAATTCACGAAGCAATAATTTTCCTTTCGAACTTAGAGAATTCTAAAATTAATTAGATTGATTAATTCATTTGCTTTTTACAGCTTATCAACCTTTTGCAGGTTATTTAAAGCCAGAAAATATTTTTAGATTGTAAGAATTTTGGGCAGGTAATAATGATTTACGAATAAAAGTTCTAGTAATTAATCCATATCTGGGGGAGGAGTGGTACATTCATACCTTTCCCAAGTAAATGTAATGAACTCGACTGGAAGCCGAGTTCCAATTCCAAGCCCTCATACATTACACCATCCGTGCTTACAGAATCTGGTATTCCCAAATGATTACCCATCTCGGTATTGACCACGTTCGACGTTGCTTAACTTCGGTGATCGTATGAGAAACAGCGTTTCAACGTGACATAGCTGTCAGCCTAAAGTTTATTATACGTTAGCAGAGACCAAAACCAAGTAAAAAGAAATGGACTGGGTTCTATATCCTTAGATGGCAACTGGTCTAGAAGTAAAACAATGAATTCAAAATCTGCGTAGGGTTATTTGGGGACCTTGTGGCACGTAGTGCAGCAGGTCTCTGTATTGGGTCTTTCAAAAAGTGTGGTTGGTTCTGCACAGAGCCTTCACCATTATAATCAAATCATAAGTGCTGGTGTCTGGGTTGTCGATTCCTAGGAACTGAGCTGCTTGACCCTCATACATCGAATACGACGGGAAAGTTCAACATATATATATATATATATATATATATATATATATATATATATATATATATATATATATATATATATATCAGTTTAATGACATAAGGATAATATCCGGGTTTAATTTTCTAAAACCTCTTCTCTTTAAGACTAATACCTTCCACCTTCCCCTGACCACTTCCTCGTGCCTTTGGTCTGACTGAAACATTGAAATGGATAAATTCTGTATTAGTTTTTCAAAGTTTTTTTTTGTTTTTTTATTTTTATTTTTTGTAGCTATCACAGTTACATTACTAATTCCGACATGAACTCAGTTTATACCGGGGTTGAATAAGACTGGCGTATTTTTCGTTGAGTGAAATAAGCCTATTCCCCATATGTAATTTTAGATTTTATTGTGTACTAATTATTTGCTCTGTAATAATAAATACATTGAGCTCTTTCCTGGATCAGTTTTAATATTTTGCATTACTAGGATCCACTTGGTTTATATACCAACGGATTTATTACCTTTACTATATGCATATATATATGTAAAAAGAAGAGTGCATAGCCAGTGGCGGTGACTGCTTTGTAGCTGAAAACTTGCTCTATACAACAGTGTAACTGGGCTCATGTAGCTGATGTAGTTTCAAAGAATATATATATATATATATATATATATAATAAAAAGGCTTAAACACTAATATTCCATGGTCATAATTTATTCCATTGGAATCGTAAATACGATCCAAATCATCAGACCTACAAATTCAAAATGAAAACAGAAAAAACAACTACGGAAATCAAAACAGAATTTAGAGAAAGTGTAAGTATGAGGAGGAGGGAGATGAAACCTTAACAGAGAGAATTTTAGGAGATATGGGGGGGGATTTAAAAAGAGGAGAGAAAGAAAGTCGACGAATGTCTAATGCATAAAGATACATTTCGTTGTGACATATACACACCATAGACAATTAGAAGTTAGGAGGTGGGGGGGGAAAGAAAGAGAAGAGGTGGGGGAGAGAGATGGGACGAAGGAAAATAAAATTGTGTTTACTTAAAGGGCCGCTTTGTAATTCAGAAAATTTGACAAATTAATATCGATTACATATATATATATATATGATATATTACTTACGGAGCATTCCTCATATATTAATAAGTTAAGAAATTAAAAAAAATAATAGTGACTCTTAACTTGTAAGTAATTGCTATTATTATTATTATTTATTTATTTATTTATTTATTTATTAGAAAAGGTTCCTATAGACTCATTGAAGGGATACCTGTAACCCATGCCTTAAAGAAATACAAAAAATTGTACTCACAAGTATAGCACACACATTACGAAGAGCTTTGTCTATATAAAATGATCAATGAAAAATGTCATGAAGCCTTTTCTGACCTTAGGTCTCTGATTGGGACCCTAAAGAAAATGTGTACACAACAGAAATCCAAAGCAATAATAATAATAATAATTTATAATATTTTAGTCATCAAATATTCTATATTACTACTATTATTTTATTACGTTTTCATAGTTAATATTATTGCAGTAGTGGTAGTAATAGTAGCAGTATTGGTTGCTGTTACTGACAGTGGCGTAGTGTGGGCGTAGTAATAAAGTTGTAATAATAAATAAATAAGGCAACGCGCCCTTCCCCTCACACTGTAGGCCAGTAAATATGGAACTGAAATTAGTTCAAAAGTCCAGGATCTAGAATGAATCAAAAAAGGCCGAATAACTTAGCAATTGAGACGGAGTTCAAACTAGATTTTATTATTGTTATTAACATAAATGGAAACAAACTGGTTAAAAACAATACATGTGCTTTTGGGTGGAAGGGATTGATATCAGGTTAGATGACGCAATACTTTTGCCACTGGCGGTGTCGATCCATGAGATGCCACTGGCAGTGTCGATCCATGAGATGCCACTGATTATGGATGTACAATTTTATTTAATTTTTCTACAAGGAATTCTGTTGAGAATCTACTGGCCAAAAGTCTTCTTAATGCTCTCAGTATTCTTACAGGCTTTACTTCTTCAAATTTCTTATTGATCCAATTCTTTTAAGGTCTTTGGAACCGTTCCAGGTGTTCCATTAATCATTGAAAAAAATCATCACACACCTCCATCTTGCCCCTTTTTTTTAGTTCTCTGATAAAATCTTTGATATTTATCAAGTGTTTCATTCTTTCTCGGTTCTACTTTGCCATCTGCAAAAAAAACATCGACATCAGACCCAGATAATCCTTGTTTTTGCTGCCAATGAACAGATCCTATCTACTGACCTGAGTTGAGTTATCTGTTTGAATTCTAAAAGAATTTCAGTTATTTCCGATCTCACTGTTTCTGATTTACTTTTTACACTTTACAGGCAAATTAATTTTCCAATATTGAATCACCATCTCTCCCTTGTCTTGTCTAGTCTTTTCTATTCTAACTTGATTGCATTTAGTTCCAGTACACTGGCTTAAGTTGCGTATTACTAATGATCTTGTTTCGTTTTTCTCATGCCCTTCACCCAACCATTTCCAGGTCATTTTATCTGCAATTCCTTTTCTCGGTTCAATTGTCTACTGATTCCACTTTTCTTTTGGCTTTCTCAGTTTTTTTTTTTTTTTTAGTTTTCTAATCGGATAAATATTGTCCTTTACTGTTTTGCAATTTCTGGCTGACATGATTATTCCTTCTTTATCATAAACAATCCGATTGTCTTTTAATCAACACAAACGTTCTTCTTTTTCATCATCATCATTTCTTGGCTTTTCTATCATCATCATCATTTCTTGGCTTTTCTATCATCATCATCATCATCATCATCAGCAGCAGCAGCAGCAGCAGCAGCAGCATCTCCTCTTTGAAGAAGGCTTTTTTGTTTTAAGCTGTTTAGCCTCTTCCTAATTTTATTTAATGAATTCGTTTCTTATATTTTATTTCATTTCCTTCTTTTTTGAAAGAAAACTATATATATATATATATATATATATATATAGAGAGAGAGAGAGAGAGAGAGAGAGAGAGAGAGAGAGATTGTGTATTTAGGCAGCAATCTTTCATTTATGCATTTTTCATTAAAAACGACAGACAAAATACTACGATTAAGATTTTTATTTAATTTTTCTTGTGTTCAAAAAAGTCTTTTCTTTTTGGACACAGTGTGTATCCATTTAATGATATATATATATATATATATATATATATATACATATATATATATATATAAAAGGTAGGATGTGTGTGTGTGTGTGTGTGTGTGTGTGTAACGAATGCAAGGCCGCAATTTTCGACGGATTTGCATTAAAATTTACATGCACATGCTCCAAGTTAGTGGAAAGGCCAAGATCGACTTTGCATTTCCCAACTTCCATCCATAGTGGAAATAATCGATTTTTTCATGCTTCTATAGCAGTTTTCATGTAGTTTACGGCCATTTTGTACTGGCCAGAGTGAGAGCCTATAACAGGCTGCCAAGAATAGGCAGGAAGATTCTATTGGCCAGCGTGAGAGCAAAAAGCTGACTGACACGAACGTTAACTAGCATGCTAGCATGCAAAAAAAAGTCGATTGCTGCATTTGTCACAAGTGGGAAAAATTTAAATCTGCATGGCACTTTACTCCAATTGGCTCATTCGCTTGCTTAAACTCAACGTTGATTCTGATTCCGCAGAACTGGGTTGGGTGTGAAAAATTATTTGTTGTTAACATTCTTTTTTCATTCGGTTTTTCCAGTTACGAGTCCTTTTTTTAAAGCTGATTGTTTTGTGTTCATTTTGTTTAGTTCTTTTTTCGTAACAGATTTAATGTTTAGCATAGAGCTTAGAAAAAATTCAGAGTTGCCAAGAGGGCGGAGCTGCGTAATGTGACAAGAGTCAGGAATTGAAGTAAAACTGATTGAAAAGAGAAGCGTTTTCGTCTGGGTTACTGGGGAAATGCGCAAGAAAGTCAACCACTTGTCTGAGGGTTTGAGTGATTGAAAGGTTAAGGGTTTGGATGCCAGCAGGGTCAGTGACAGAGTGTTTAAGCCATATGGTATGGTGGGTGTTGAAGTCACCGAACACGAATATGTTAGCAGACGTGTGTAGGGAGACGGCCTTGTCAATATTATCGGAAATACTATCTAGCACGCAACATTCATGAGAGGAAGGGGATCAGTATAGAAAGAAGAAACAGCTGACTGAATTAAGGAGAAAGAGAGATAGAGACACATATACGAATGGTTTGGAGATTGAAGAGAGAGTTCCCTAGCCAGCAGGAATTGTAACGAACAAACTCCCAGATCTTGCATGTGGACTTTGGAGTCCTTTCTAATTAGAGGAACGTAGCCAGGAATCGAGAAATCAGAGGAGGGGATTGACGAGTTAAGGTTAGTTTCACAGACAGCTAGGATGTCTGGAGACTTTTCGAAGAGGAACGATTCCACAGTGCTGAATTTGATACGAATACAACGAATGTTGGAGAAAGAAAGGTTAAAGGGTTTAAGTATTTTTTGTTGAGATGGTTTAGGCTTGTATCTTTGGTTTTTTTATCGTCATGTATTATATTGGTAAGGAAAAGGCCTAGGATAGTAGTAGCAGTTGGTCATGAAATGTAACATGGGCAGAAGGGAACTGGCACAGACTACAACATAGGGTGGCCTCGGGGTTGCCTGGATACCCATCCATGCGCGATATGGCATTATAGGAACCCTGATATTATGCGACTGTTGACCAGAGCAACTTA